GTATGGACCCTACTCAAATTTGGACTCAAAGTTAATCTAAAATGAACCTATAAAAACTAGGAATTCCAACATGCATTGGCTTGCACCATATCCCAAACAGGGACTTAAGTTTTGTGAGATAATAATATACATACTAGAAGGTGGAGTGTTACGAGAATCAATCAGTTTATTTTTTAGGCTCTGTTTATTTTGATAAAAAATATTTTACATATTTTTTATTATTTAGTTGAAAAAAAAAATAAGGAAAATATTTTTAAAGGAATATTTTTCTTCATTGTCTCGAAAACGACTTATCAGTAAAATTTTTATAAATTACTTTTTGTGAAGTTTACCCCCCAATCACGACCCCTTTCAATATATTTGACTGTTTAAAATAAGTATTTTAACTCATTTATTGTTTGATCTTATTAAATCATAATTTTACTTTCAGAAAATAGAAAGTTTGAATTTTGTCAACCAAATGTGGGAAAATAAAAACAAAAATATCTTTTTGTACAAAATTAATTTACATGAAAAATATCTACTGGTGTAAATTATTTTATATCGAAACAAATGGAGTGTAACTGACAAAAAATATATATAGATTAATATTTTTTTGAAGAAACTATAAAAATTAAATTAAAAAAAGTGAGATAATTATAGGACAATTTGGGAATAAAAAAAACTTTGACAAAACTATACTAGATTGTAAGTTTTATAATAGAATATCTATATATATATATATATATATATGTAAAGTCTTGACAATAAAGGGCAAAGTGCTAGTTTTCTTTAGGTTTAGAAAAACACCCATCTAACCCCATGCTCCATGACTTTTATGATTGACCCTGATAAAGTTACCCACTAGAACCAGCCTTTTATTCCACTTTTCTCTTCTTCTTTGTGTTCCATTTTTTTTTCTTTCAAACCACATTTTAAGTGATGGAAAAGTTGAAATTCTAGAAAAAAGGAAGAATTTTTTTTTTCTATATTATATATTGAAATCCTTTTCACACCTAAGTCCAAGAACAAAAAAGATCACAGTTTTAATTGTCTATCTCCTGCTACCCTTTGGATGCCCATCAGACATATTGCAGTACATCTGTGATTTTTTCCTATAGTAGGATGCTACATTATCATTTTATCATATATATTAAAAATGAGGAAATTATAATTTGATGTAAAATACAAATATGTGGGGGTGCAATTTTTTTTTAATAATTTTTTTTCTCATTTCTATTGTCATGTAATTCACCCTTAAAAACCACGGCATTCAGCCTAGTGGTTGTGTAGTGCCCTTTGTGGTGTAAGGTATCAGATTCAATTCCTATGGAGAAAAGTTTGATACCTTTTGTGATGGTTGGTTTATGGTTTGGTAGGCTTTATAAATTAGTTGTAGTTTAACTTTCTAGCTATTATAGGCTAGTAGTCTTTTTTTTGTTTTTTGTTTTTGTAGGGATAATTTTTGAATGACAACACGTAGCCGAAGTGTCACCGAAGTGCCAGCCGTGGTGCCACGTGTCCTCGTTATGACGCCGAGATCATCTCGGCTAGGCCGAGGTTATCTGCCAAGATACCAGAATTCGGGATAAGCGGATAAGGGACAAGAGTCCTAAAATGAGAGAGAACTTCAGTTTGGGTAAAGATAAGACTCTTAGAGAGTTTATCCCAATCCATAGTTTAACTTTCTAGTTCAGTAGATGGAAGTATTAGGGGACGGGGTAGGCCTAGATTAACGTTGACTAGCGTTATAAATAGAGATATGAATCTACTTAATTTGACTAATGAAATGGCCTTTGATAGGGCCGCGTGGAGAAAAAGGATTCATGTAGCCGACCCCATTTGATGGGACTTAAGGCTTGGTTTAGTTTGGTTTAACTTTCTAGTTATTATAGGCTAGTAGTCTTTTTTTTGTTTTTTGTTTTTGTAGGGATATAATTTTTGAATGACAACATGCGGCCGAAGTGTCACCGAAGTGCCAGCCGTGGTGCCACGTGTCCTCATTATGATGCCGAGATCATCTCGGCTAAGCCGAGATTATCTGCGAAGATACCGGAATTCGGGATAAGCGGATAAGGGACAAGAGTCCTAAAATAAGAGAGGACTTCAGTTTGGGTAAAGATAAGACTCTTAGAGAGTTTATCCCAATCCTACCGGGAGTTCAAGATTAGCAGTAATCCTAAGTCCATTGAAGTTAGGCTTATATTGGGACTAGGTTTGTGTTGGCTATAAAATAGAAGCACCCTCATGGGTCTAAGGTATGCTTTTTATGCTCTGAATAGTGAGTTAAGCACTTTTGCTATCTTTGAGAAAAAACTGACTTGATTGTCGGAGTGCCCCCGGGTAGACGAACCACCACCGGAATTTCTTCTTTTCTGTGACAGGTCGTTCGGGCAATCTATTCTGCCAGTGTTCTCCAGCTGAGTACCAGTTTGGCAGTGTGATCAAAAATTGACACATACAGTTTTTATCGGGAAAAGTAGACTAGTAGTCTGTTTGATGATATAAATATTTCTCATAATATAATTATTCTCTTATCTATTGACCACAAAAAAAATTTTGCCTTAAAAAATCCTTTATTATTAAAGTGAGACAAATAGTCATTAAATTCACTACAACAAATTAAGATTTTAAAGACTAAAAATTAGGAAAAAAAAAATTTAAGGACAAAATATTTAAATATCTTAGTTGCTAGAAGTGTAATTATTTTATTTTTTAACGACAAAATTGGACATTTAATAATGAATTATTTTGGGATCAAAATTTTCATCTAAAAAAAAAACCTTTCGGTACAAAATTATTTTATCTCTAAAAATATATTTTATTAGCAACACTTTCGAAATTTTATCACTAAAAGAAATTTTTTGACTTTACCGGGACGACCTCTTCATGGCTATTCACATTACGATTGAAATTTGATTTTCTTATTTTTTGCAATAAAATTTTATTTTTTAATAACGATTTGGTCCGTAAAATCTTTATATATTGTAATGAATTATTATTATTACAAAAATGTTACATATAATTATATTTTTTAATAACTCAATACAAAAGTAATAAATTTCATAATTAGCTTTGTGTCTAGTGATATAAGAATATCTAGTAATAAATTTGATAATATATTACATTACCTATAAAATTATTAATGAAGGTAATACACATATAACTTGTGCTTGCATGCCATTGACTTTAATTTATTTGGAGAATGAATATGGCCCACTGTCTCGCGTTTATGTGAGTCTACCCATGTGCTTATGTAGTAGGGTTGTGTGGCTCACAGGGATTACATGAACCTACAGGGGATAAAGTACTTATTCCAAATATTATGACATGTTTGGCTCCCAATATCTTTGCCTTAATAATTGCAATGGGGAAAGTGAATGGGTTGATAGTTGACACCACCATCCATCACGCCTCCTTCAGTCCTTAATATTGAAGTCCAATAACTACCCTAATTAAGACAGTTAAATGAATCAAGTTAATAGAGTTTCACTCATTAAAAATTTATTTCAAATTACTTTATTATGTAAATAATTTTAATTTTAACATAGTTTTAAGTTTGTTAAGTATTCAAATTAAATTTAAGTGATCAATTGCTTAACTCTTGTTTAATTCATTAAAAATTTATTTAATATCAACTCATTATATAAATAAATCAAACTTAAATATATTTTAAAATTCATTAAAATAAACGAGTCAATTTGTCATTATAGAACCTGTGGTGAGTCTATTGAGTTAGACTATACATCTATACTATTATATATATGAGCACATAACTTGGTATCTAATAGTGTGGTGGTTTCTCTTTTTGTCACATGTCAAATTTTCTTATCCTAAAATAAAAAAATATTATTCAAAGGCGTAAGCAAGATTTGAACCGAAGGTTTTGACACTTTTACCATTTAGATAACATATATATTAATTTCTTTCTTATTTATTTTTGTGCTTACATATGTGAATTGCACCCACCCACCAGTCTAGAATATAAGGCAAGCTTGTATATGTGAGAGTAATTGGGTTCGGCCCAAATCAGAATATAGCCCAAAGACTTCAAGTTGGACCAATGTAATTAAAGAAAACAATGCAAAGCAGTTAGAGAATTGGTTATAGGTTTTTTTTTTGCCCTTTTCTTTTTGTAAGGTTAATTTCAAGGGATTTTTAATTTAAGATTCTTGATATTAAGATTTTGTAAAATAAAAAATATATAAAATTTTCATAATAGTTAGGATCTCTCAATATTTTTATAGAGAAATTTTAGTACAGAAAAATTTCAGCACAAATAAATTTTAGCACATAGAAATTTTAACATAGAGAAGAAATTTTAGCTCTAAAAAAATAACTTTTACAAAGAAATTTCAGTTTGTCACACAAATTCGTCATAGATAAATTTATGAAATTTCTCTATGACGAGTTTAAATTTCTCTAATAATATTATTGAGGGACCTTAACTAATAAGAAAAAACATATTGGATATCTTCTACTATCAAAAATTAGAGAGAGATGTTTCATTAATTTTTCCTAATTTCATTGTTATCGCTAAACTTTTTGTCATTTTTCTCCCCTATTTCATCATTAAAATTTTAATTTAGTGTATTTTGTTATGAAGGTTGCTAATTTCAACTAATATGAACCAATTAGAGATAAGTGTCTAAATTAATAACTATTAGAACTTAATTTGTTGAATAAAATGTCGTTTCAAAAATTGAACAACTTGAATCATATAAATTAAACATTTATTATTTATTTACTATTTTGAAATGAGCGGTGATGAAGAATATGAGTGTTTGGTTATATAATGTAAATTGTCTAATATAATGTGAGTAAACTAAAGTTAGATTTTGGATGAAATGTCTCCAATTAGACTATATGAATTGAGAAAAAACTTTAATAATTATATTGATAATAAAAAAATAAAAAAAAAAACTATAATTTAGAAGATAAAATGAAAACTCAAATTTTAATTTTGTTTTTAACATTATTGGCCGTTGTTATAACAACATTATTGGCCGTTGTTATAACCATGCAATGCCACGCCCACAGAGTCGAATCATCCTTGTTGGCGCTTTCTATCGGCAGCGCGCGAAGATGCTGGCGTTCAGTTATAGAGTCTCACGCGTCGCATCATCTCCAATCCCACTTGGGACTTTCGCCAAACACCTTCCGACCTTCATACCAACAACGCTCAATCCCAACAGACCCAACCCCAAAACCCTAACTACAGCCTCAGTCGTCAACACTCCTCACTTCCAAACCCTAACTCATCCTCAGAAACAACAGATTCATCTCTTCGTCGATGCTCTTCTTCAATGGAACCAGGTCTCTCTCTCTCTCACATACACACACACATATATGTATGCTAGTTTTTGAATGTTTTGAATTTGCAGAAGATGAATCTGACTGCTGTGAGGGAGGAGAGTGAGATCATGGAAAGGCACGTTGAGGACTCACTTGCGCTTATACCTCCCATTCAGAGTTCGTATCTATCGCATTGCGGAGCTTCATGCGATGAGATTAGACTTGTTGATGTTGGAACTGGTGCGGGGCTTCCCGGATTAATCCTAGCCATCGCGTGCCCAGGTATCTCATCTCCAATGATTCAATCTCACGCTTGATTGTTGTTTTCTTTACCTGTTTGGATCAATGTGGGTGAGTATAAGACGCAATTGTTGTAATTGTTGTCAAATAGTAAATCGAAACGTGAATGGTTTTCTAAAATAGTGACATTATACATAATTATGTTTATATACAGACAGAAATACGCATAGTATTAAAAATGAAATAAATATCAATATTTAACTAAATTGTATATATGTATACATATAAAACACATATATCAATATAGTTTATTGATATATTTTATTTATTTTTCATGCATCATGTAAAAAAAATTGAATTGCAACGAATCATAGCAAGTCATAATAATTTTCAAAAAAATAAAATAAAATAACAAATCATAATAAATCTCAATGAAATGTAGTGAATTGCAACTGAATCGTAAGATTCACTCAATTTAAGGTTTTAGTAGCATGAATTGAATTGTTTTGATTGAAACTTGGATTGAATCGTGAATCGTATGATTCTAACACTCATATATATGTGGCTATTAGAGTCGTTTGATTGCCAAAAAACAGGTAAGGGAGGATAATAAAATGATGTGTTGAATAATTGAACTTTAAGATTTTGATTGTATTTGGGCCTAGTTATTATAAGACTTCAATTGGTACAGCACAATAAACAACTTGGAGGGCTGAACTTCCCATTGCTTTAGAAGAAAAAAAATTTGCAGAAAACACAGGATTAAAAATTATAGGCAGTTTTGCCACAATTTGGTGGCATAACAATAACACCTACCTGTTGTCATTTTTACCTTTCATTCTTTTTATTCCTTCCCATTGACTGATTCATGCCCAACCTCTATGGCTTCCCCATTTCTTGCCACCATAGACGAGATTCCCAATTCTGCCTATCCTCACCCAGTCGAGGAGATAGAATCACCGCGAAGCATTCATGCCACAGCAGGAGATGAAATCAACTCTTTGGTTTTGGGAGGGGGAAGGGAGATAGAAAATAAGAATTCACCAAAAGAGGACACAGTGCTAAATAGTTGATCTACCCCCTGGCTAGAAGGCATCTACCTCATCCTGATTACAAGGAGAGGTTCCCCATGATGGGAAGTACTACTTTTTTTTCCCTTCTGGAAAGAATTAGATGCATAGGAGAACCCTTCCTACTCCAGAGCTTAACAATCAGAAATCAAGCCCAAAAATATAGCAGATTTTTTAATTTTTTATTTGTATTAATTCAAAGCCCATTGTGAGAGGATCCTTCAGTGGAATGCATTTACAGCACTATAAACAACTTGGCAGTGTTGAATTTTCCATTGTTTGAGAAGAAAAAAAAAAACTACAGAAAACACAGGACTAAAATTATAGGCAGTCTTGCCACAATTTGTTGCCTATAAGACCTACCTGTTGTCAATTTTGTTTGTTTGTCAGAGATGATGTAGTGACAGTCATTGATGGTTAGGTTGGAAAGTAACACTGCTGGAGTCCATAAGCAAGCGTTGTGTATTCTTGGAGCATGCTGTGGATCTTACTGGTTTGTCAAATGTTCAAGTTGTAAGAGAAAGAGCTGAGGTATGATTTTCCTCTTTTTCTCTGAAATTGTTGATGCAGTAAGATTGTGAATACCTAAATATCTAATCCTTTTGTAATTTTTTTACTTGTTTGTATGGTGCATTTCTGTCCTGAAGTAATGTACTAGATTTTTATTTTTTATAATATTCATTGGTTGCTAATCCTAATAGTATAATTTATAAAAATATTATCCGTCACTAAAACAATTGTCCTTCATAGCAATTCAGGACCTGATGCCTGTACTCAGCAGTCAACTTATATGTTATCACTGTAATTTATAGCCACCAGCTCTATTCCTATGCACTAGAGGCCCCACCTTGTCTTGACAAGGATAATCTTAACAAAAGAGACTCTCTAGAAGGCTTGTGCAAATTAAAGTAAAAGGATATGTTATTTATCAAAATAAATAAATAAAAGGATATGTTGGTTGTTCTGAAATTGGTTTGGAAGCATCTTGCATCTACCTTTGTTGTTGAGGCTATATTTTTCCTAATACTTCTCTTGGATTGTTTTCAAGAAACTGGTGATCAGTTGTCATCTGATGAAATTTAAGCAACACTGATTGTCTCTTGAGTTGAAGAGCTTATTCCCTATTATGAATACAACACATTCCTTACTCATGTTTACCTTTAGAATTAAAATGGCTTATCCCATTGCGAATGTTACTTCTACTGTGGCTTTCAATTTTCCACCACATTTAGACCTCTTTCTGCCTTCGATCAATGGGTGATTTAACTCTGCTTTTAATACTTTCACTTGCTTCCGTCCTGTTCTTTTTTCTATTTTAAGTTTTGTAATTGATTGGTGCAATGTAGTTCTTGGATGGACTTTCAGACTGTGCTTGATCAGACAAAGTGATACACTGTGATTCTTATGTGTTATTTTTAAAATTATCTTGTCTCAATATTTTACTTACTTTCTCGGTTACAATGCATATTCTGAACCTTTTTATAGACAGAATTTAGGACAAAATCTTGCCTTCAGAGAGGTATTTGATGTCTCGGTGGCAAGAGCAGTTGCAGAACTGAGAATTTTAGGTAATCACTAAAACATAATAATGTGGTTTCTTTATGTAGCATCTAGTGTTTCATCACACCCTCAGGTGGTTCTTATATTCTTTTGATTTTCAGCTGAGTACTGTCTTCCTCTCGTTCGTGTGGGTGGTTTGTTTGTGGCTGCAAAGGGTCATGATCCTCTGGTATGCATTCATTATCTTCATTTGGAACTTAAATTATGTGTAATCAAATTTCCTTTTCATGAGAACCCCATGTAGCATATCGCTGAGACACATTGTGGTTTGGTTATAGTAAAGAAAATTCTGATTTATATATAATATATGTAAGAGGTTTAGTGATTTTTTTACATTTTATATTGGAAAGGTTTCTCCATAAAAAAAATTATGAGTCATTACGTGCATCTAGGTCTCCTAACTCTTTAATGCTGCATTCATGAAGAAAAGGGAATTTTTACTATAGAATTACATTTTTTCTAGAATAGTCCAGTGTGTGTTTCTTCTGGGGCATTTTCTCAGCACACAAACTGTAATGTTTCACATGATTGGTAGTGGTCTAGTTGGGTGTTCTACGCAGTTTTTGGTCCTACCGTCATAAAGGTTAGAATGTTGCTCATTCTTGATATTGTTCCGTGGAATAACAAAACCATGTTTAAAAATTTCAATTTTTATGTGAGAATCATGCATCATAGGCCCAGAAAGATATGTTATGTGCTGTTTTGTTGAAGAGCTAGGGTCCTAATGAACCTACAACCATACAGCTTCTAAGTTTGCATGTGGATAATCAACCCAGATGGAATCTTTTCAATCTTGAGCAATAAATGGATTTATTTGAAGTAACTAAAAATAATAATTCTTTTGAAATGCTTTCCAATATAATATGGAATTATTTCCTTCTAAAGGAATATGCTAATGCCAGCACGGAACTTTTTTTTATCTTCTTAAATGCATCTGATAACATGATGAACTACAGTGATATGCCATTCTTCTAATACTTATTGTAGATAAAAACTAGCTTTCCTGGTTATATATGCTGACAGGAGGAAGTTAGAAGGGCAGAAAGAGCAATTCATTTGATGGGTGCTTCTGTATTGCAAATGTACTCTGGTATGCCTTCTTATTTCTGCTTCATATAATTATTTTGTACTTGGTTTGAGAATAAAATGAGAAAAGTTGATCAGTGAATTGATGATGGATTAAAATGGCAGCAGATATTCATTCTAACATATACTGATAAACCAAACATATCACATATTCTGCTGTATTTTTTAATCTTATGAAACAAGGTACTTTTTCTCCTTTATCAATGCTATGCAATTTAGCCACTCTAACCTGGAAGAACAAATCCAAGTCTTCATATAAATCTTGAGAAATGTTGAGTCCTGCATATCAAACTCCAATCTTTTGATGCTTCTTGGAAATGTTGATGTCTCACAGATCATTTGGTATTGGATGGCTGAGTTTACATGATTTATTCTAACTGCCTGGACAATGTTCTTATTGCCCCAGCTTTCCTTTTATAACTTTGCAAATATATAGAACTCGTTTGGGAAGAAAAAACCTGGGTTTTTTTTGGCTAAAATAGTCACAAAAAATCAAAATAGACTAAAAAGCTAATAAGACAAAATGTCACATCCAAACCATAATCATTTCATTTTTTTTCTCGCAAAATCTATAAATTCAAAAAGTCCATCCCAAATGAGATTTTTTAGCCCCAGGCTAAAATAACCAAAAAGCCGACCCACATCCCAAACGAGCCCATAGTTTTTTTGGCTATAATAAAGCATAGGCTCCATAATGCAATCTTCTTTGTTGGATAGGTTCTCAATGTTAAGTCTAACTGCAGTTTTGTGGTGATATTAGATCAAGTTGAATATATTGAATTTTGTACTTTCATTGATGATCCAAAATAAACTTGCATTATTGATTTGAACTCCATATTGACATAAATATTAACACCTCCTTTATTTAATTTAGTGGAGTCACATGGACCTCATGGACAGAGAACTGCCATTGTATGTTTAAAAGATGGCCCCACGCCAAGGAAATATCCCCGTTATCCAGGCACACCAGTGAAATCACCGCTATAAACAATTTAGACACCTGATCTGTCTTTCTTTTTTAAATATTCTATTTGTAACAATAATGTTTTCATATTAGATGCTATACTGTACAATTGGATATATAGCAAACTCTGACCATTTATTTAATATAAATTTTTTGTAGTCCATATTCAATAAGACATTAATACCCTCTCTCTCTCTCTCTCACACACACACACACACACAATTATTGATTGTTCAGTCATTTATTACTTTTTGTGGGGATTGAAAAGTGTTATGACAAGTGAGTTTTCGGAATTAGATACCAATTCCTGTTGCCTTGTATGGAAAATTATTTTCTTATAACCTTTGCAGAATACTAAAGAAGAAAGATTGAAAAAAAAAATACTGGGATTTAAGGAAAATAACTGGGACCTATTTTCTACTGGCAGCATTTCAGATTTGGTAGTTAGTTCATCAAAAACTTGAAATCTCTTGGTTAATGTTGTACACGTATTAAATTAAGTGGCAGAGAAGCACTGAACATTAGGGGATTTTCTTTCTTTCTTTTGTTAACACGATGGCCTTGTTTGGAGTGACTTGAGGAAAGTTTGGAATTCTTTTTTGACTACACTTCTAATTCAGTAAGTTCAAGAATGATTCACGAGTAAGTAAATTATGCTAGATAATACCCATGCCTAAATTTTCTGTTATTGGCCGAACTCAAACCTTTAGTTTGGAGTTCCACAGTATCTTGGACTACTTTGTTGGGATAATTTCATGTGTTGAGCTAGAAAGTGATGCAAATTACTGATCCTTTTATATGAACAATAATTGGGTGTTAATTGAATCCTCCTACACACTAAAGCATGTAGTATATAAAATGATATTGTTGGCTATTGTTTACTACGCTATAGAGTGTGAGTTTTGTTCAGCAATTTGTGTATATGTTGACATGTCTTGCTGGACAAAAGAATGATCAGCTGCCTGATCTTTGCTTGGCTACATTGAATTCTTGGGTCATAAGCGTTTATAGTTGCTCTCTCTCTCTCTCTCTCGCGTGTGCGCGTGCGTGCACCCATGCATGCAGAAATATAAATACACACACAGATTGTACACATGCACTCTTACTAGAATGAAATGGCTGTGCCAATCTCAAGAGTTATACTAGAAGGCTAAATGGTAACTTACATGCAACGCATGCATGTCTCTTCTCACTTATTTTACTCGTGAATGTACGATGCCAAAAATCACCCTACCCAATTTAAAAATCATTGATTTGAAAGTTGGTATATTATTTGGCTTGGGGAATTGTGCCTATAAATATATCACGACCTTAGCCTTGATTTGGCTAGTGTTAAAAGTGATTGGTCGGGTTTATTTGTCCAACCTGTATCTAATTCAACCCAACTCATTTAAACTCGTTTATTAAATAGGCTGGTTTGGATAGGGTTGTTTCAAAGAATAACCCATTTTGACCTGTCTAAACTGTCCATTTGCCACCTTTATAGATAGGATACCGAAGTTAGGAGAGGTAGATTCACTAGAACATAAAACAAAGTTAGGAGAGGTAGACTCACTAGAACATAAAACAAAGTAATAAGGTTACCTTGTGTAAGAGGGGCTAATTTGAGCCCACTAAATTATTTAGGCCCAATAGCCCAAGATTAGTGGGCCCGAATTTATCGCAAGTCCAAGAACCTTCATAATAATGATTTTTTGCATTCTTCAAAATATAATTTATGCACTGTAAATATGTTTTGAAATGATTATCATTTATATTACAATGTTTTATAATCGTTTTGTATTCTTTAGAATTTAATTGTTATTGTTATGCGAATGATAACTTGATGTTTTAAGTTATAAAATATATAGCTTTTTTCACTGTGTTTAGTTGGGGGATTTGGAAAGGGATTTGGAAAGAGAAAGGGAAAGGGAAAGGAAAAAGGCAAATGAAATGAATAAAATATACCTACATTTCACTTAGTTTCACACACTTTTTTCTTTTCTTTTTCTAAATCTCTTCCCAAATTTCCTAACTAAACGCAACATTAAAAGAGAGGTTCAAAAACCAAGAAATTGTTGGGTTAGATAACCTTGGTATGGGAAAAAGACTTTTACCTAACTTCCTCTCTACTTGTCATAAAACAGGGTAATCAGGTTACACTGTTTGGGTGATTGTTGTTGGACATAGTAATTAAATGGATCTTTTAGCCTTCTTCTTCCCAAGTCTCATTTCAAGATTTCTTACATCATTTGAGGAGAGGTATTTGGAATTCGGGTTAATGTTTGGTTAGATAATCTTGGCATGGGAAAAAAGATTTTTACCTAACTTCCACTTGACTTGTCATTATTTAAATAGGTTAAATTGTTGAAGCTCCTAATGAAACATTATTCAAATCATATATTTATAGGGTATATTTCCATAATATCATGCCGCAATGGTGGCATCATATGAATTAACTTGTTTATTACAGAAAGAGATATTTTTTTGAGTGTTTGGTCTCTTTTGCTTTGTTTGTTCAATTTAATAGATGAATCATAGGTTGCCTTTTTTGCTTTTCCCCTTAAAATTATGTGTTATTTTTTAGCATCAATGCCCCACTTTGCTTGTAATGGGCTCTATAAAAAATGGCTCTGTGAATAATCATTAAATAAATAAATCAGTGTCTCTCATGGTAATGACTTTATTAAAAGTACTGCATTATTAGGGTCATTTATAAAAGCGAATTGAATTAAACTCGTTTGTCTATTTGTACTTTTGTATTTCCCAATACGATCACTTGGAGACCTTTCTCTAGTTAATCAAAGGCATATTCGGAAAATTGGTTCCCTTCACAATTATTGAGCATGAAACTCGACTTCCTCTGGTGTAGATTGCTGGTATTTTTATTATTTTTATAATTGTTGAATTATAATTTAGTTCTCAAGAAAGAACACAATTTTTTTTGTTTCTTTGTTAAGAATTCTTATCAAAGTATTTTAGTTTCTTCTAGTATTTAGGCCTCGTTTGGCAAGTGATTTTTTTAGCCAAGAAGTTAAAAAGTCACTAAAAAAATCAAAAAGTCAACAACTCATACCAAAAAGTCGAAGATTATCTTTTTTCTCTACTTTTTACACATCTTTTCATAAAAAGTCAAAAAGTCATCCCAAACATACTAGTTTTTTTTACATCACATTTTCTCCAAAAAAATTAAAAAGTTATTAAAAAAGCTTATTCCCAAACTAGACCAATCTGCCTGTGTGTAGGTTCAGGTCCTTCTGATCAGTGACTACTTAACCACATTTAAGCTATTATTGTTATTTTATACTTGTCAAATTTTTTTTTTTTGTTAATTTCTTACTATTAAATCAGCCTTCCTTGTGGAGTTATCTGCATTTTTTTCCGATATTTAGTATGACTCTTGCATCTGCCTTTCAACCAGGGCCGGCCCTGCGCTAAAGTCATTGAAACTTGTGTCTAGGGTCTCAAAAATTAGACTCAAAAAAAGGCTCCCAAATTCATTATTTTACTCTATATCAAAAATTCAAAATGGTCCAAGTTTGTTTTACTAGTTTAGGCTATTTTAAAATGACTCAAAAGTTCTATTTGGCCCAATTGATAAAAAGTCCAAGTAAAAAATATTTATAAGTGTTAGTTGTTAGCTCAATTAAAAAAATAAAATATAAAATATATGTATATGTCTATGGGGCCTATTTTTCTTTTTTCTCTTTTTATGGCCCAATTATGTGATTTTTTAGTAGTTCTTAAATATTTTACGCAATTTTAATTATTTATTTTATAGATACATCTAATTTAGATACACTTAAAAAATTATAATATTTTTGTTTTTTTTTAAAAGAAATATAAAAAAGTTGCCAAATACAAAAAATATAAATTGCAAACTCAAATAATTATTTTTCAAAATTCTAAACCAATCAGCATGATTTTTATTTTTATTTTTATTTTTATAAATATCTAAAAGGTTCCAAAAAATTATTTCGCCTTGAGCCCTGGAAACTCAGGGCCGGCCCTGCTTTCAACCCCTGAAGAAACAACTTTTTACAGTAGGAAGTTGTTACATTATAGTTAGTTTGGTTTGGTATGTCCAAGTTAGGTATGGAATACTGGTATAGTCTTGGAAAAGAATAAGAAGTTTAGAATGTGGGGATTTCAAGAAGGGTGGTGAGATGAGAATTAGTGTGAGCTTCTCTTATCCATATTTTTCTAACTTTGGTCCGTGACCTTTATGCCCCTGTCTCATTCGAGTCCCACAGTCGAACTAATCCTTGCATAAAACAAAGGAACCCCCTGCAGCGGTACACATAGAAAAGGGAACTGTTATGCATCACCGATGAATTTCACCTGTTTCTTTTTTTACCTTCTGTGTCAATCCACACAACAAATAACATGTGTACACAGAGTTTTATTATTCTTTGAAGAGCAAGGCTTGTCTACCATCGTCAATCTGACTGGAGAGGTCTGGTTGGGTTCATTGTGGGCCCACCTCAGCGATCTAAACCATTCATCTTGTGTGGATCGCCAAGTAAATCATCCATGCAAAAAATTAAGTTGATTGGACATTGGTAACCACTTGATTGGATCTTGTTTTTCTTTATAAAAAGAAAGATGGTCCATTATCTTTCATTTTTAAGAAAAATAATAAATGGCATGTCTGATTTTGAGATTTTGAGAATAGACAGCCTATTTTTTAAAGAAAAATGAGATCAGATCAAATAGTTACCGTCAATGTTCGATTGGCTTGATGTTTTGCATGGCTCATGAATGACTTACTCAGTGGACTCTACAAGGTGAATGGTTTATATCGCCAAGGTGGATCCAAGATGGACTCACACGAGAAGCCTGAATCAAAATCCTCTCTTTGATCTCTCTCCATGACTCCTTACTTGTTGTGCCATCAAGTCCACTTTTGGGTCCAATTTCAATAATCCTAACCGTTCATATTTTAATATTTGTTAAGTATATCATACTTATGAAAAAATCATGTTGATCGGATATCAGAAACTACGTGTTCGGATCATCGAACTAAAATCTATTTTTTTTAAAAATTTAATAAACAGTTTTCCGAACACATACTTTCTGATATTCGATCAACTTGATTTTTTACAGGTATGATGTACTCAACAAATTTTAAAATGTGAACGGTTCAAATTATCGAAATTGGGACCAAAAGTGGACCCAATACCCCAATAAGTAGGAAGTCAATGAGAGAAATCAAGGAGCGGATTTTGATTCGAGAAGCCTTGCCTTTTTCTAAAAAAAATTTAAATATGGCGAGTGCTACATGTACACATGGCATTTGTTGCATGGATCAATGTATGACATGAAATAAACCAGTGAAATTCATCTGGTGACATACGACTTATGTTTGAGAAAAACTAGACAAGGAGGGGCCACCATGCCCATTCGCTCTGTCCTTCTTTTCTTTACTCCATGAAGTTAGAGAATCTTCTTTAGCACTACCACCAAACAGCATTCATAATGCATTATATAATATGTTCGTCTTCTTTTTCTTTTCTTTTTTTTTTCTTGGAAAGACAATATTAAAAGTTAGTGACCTCATAATGACCCACAGGACACTTGAAAGTTTCAAACATCACAATCCAAGTAAGAAAAGCAGGAGAAAAGGTCTAGAACTAATTATACTGAAACTCAGAAAGAAAAAAGTAGGGAAAGCCCTCCTAAAGAGAGAGAAAAAGAATCTGCCAGACCTTGATGTCACAGTCCAAACTGCCACTGTAGAGTAGGTACGAAGATGCATCAACGGATGGATCATAACAATCTCTTGCTGCAGCCAAGCACTTGACGGGCCCTTTGTGTCCCACTAAGACTGCCAAGCAAGAGTAACATCTATCAACCCCTCTCCAAATTCTCACAGTTTGATCTGCTGCTGAACCACTACAAACCATATCAGACACAACAGTTAGGCACAATATAGACTTAGTGTGCCCGCATAACGCACCCATGACTACCATGTTACCGGCACTGTTCTTTTCCCAAACCACGATCGACCTGTCACATGCACCGGAGTACAACACCGACCCATCTGTGCCCAGAGCTAGTGCATTGACTCCTGAGTTATGTTTATCTAGCGTGGCAACTAGAGTATGCTTCGTTTCTCCGGAGCTTTTCCTCCACACTTTGATTGTTTTGTCTGCTGATCCGGTATAAATGTGTCCATCGTTAGATAATGCCACAGCGTTTATAGCGTCGTTGTGCGCATTTTGTATTGACTCCAAGCATTTAAAGTCGGTTGTTTGCCAAATTTTGAGTGTCCGATCCCACGAAACTGAGTAGAGGAGAGAATTGTCCTGTGAGAGGGCTAGTGCGGATACAGTGTCTACGTGATGGACCCATGTGCATTTCTTGTGGCGTCGAATTTGTACGTGGTTTTTGGGTATTAGGAATTTAAGGGCACGGTCGCTGAGCGTAGGGAGCGTGGCTACGTGCGTGAACTTATGGTGATCTCCTTCATGGCTATCGATTTTCCATACACGGATTTTGTGGTCTTGGTGAGCGCTGAAAAGTTTGTCTGCTAAAACCATTAGGGACTTCACGGCACCCTTTCCAGAGGCTACCTTGTGGTCGGTTAGGTTTTCATGATTGAATTTGGAGGTTAGAGTGTCGCGTTTCCACAATCGGATTTCTTTGTCAGAAGAGCCGGTGTAGAGGAATTTTCCGGCAAGGGCAAGGGAGGATATGTAGGAAGTGTGGCCTTTAAGAGTGGCGATGCAGTGGTGGTGGGCGGTGATGGGATGGTGGTTGTTTTGGTGATTGGATTGTGAGGTGAGGGAAGGGATTGATGGGAGGCTTGGCTGGGAATTCAGGGAGGTTGACTCTTGGTGGAGATAATTGGAGTGAGATTGATAGCCATTGTATGTACAAGTTTGATGGTTTAGCATTATTCCCTTGCTAGAGAGAGAGAGAGAGCAACATGGCTTTTAAATATATAGAGGAAGCATGGGATGATCAAAGACTTGCTTTTATTTCGTCAGAAGACAAAGTTGCCCTTGATGATGTTAATGTTAAGCCAGAAGGGCCTAGCTGCTTAGACTTTGATGGTGTCATGTGAATTGGTTTGGTTAGTCAGATGCTTTCATAGAAAGGATAGAAAGGGCTAGGTGTCATTGATCTTGAGAAATGATTTTTACATTTCTTTTTGCTTGCTAGTGTTGTCCCTCATTAATAACAAGTTTGGTTAGGGGTGAGTGTTGTTTTCATATCATATCATTTTGAATTTGTATTAGATATGATATTTTTAGCTAATCATATCAAGTATTCCGATACTAACCCGTCATGTTTATAAGTGTGTTATTGTTTGACATATTACAAAGCTTCATATAAAAATAGGAATTGATATTAAGGGGACATAATACTAGAGTGAGTGAGGTTAGTTTTTATATAATAATTAGATTGAACTTATTAGTCGTGTCAAATTCATGTTGCACCAGCTTGGCACTAACTTAATTTGTTTAATTTCTTGTGTTACCAAGTCGTGTCACTTGTAAGTTTGTTTGAAGAACTGTCACTTTTAAATTTGTCTGGAGAACTAATCAACTATGATCTGCTAATTTGATGTTCATTTCGATCTGTGTTTAGAATGTTGTGAAAGGGATTGTCGTCACCTTTCAAATGGGTCCCTCAAACTAAAATATGTATGGCTGTGATTAACAAAAGCTCGTGATCTTAATAGCCACCTAGTACACTGGATTAGGGTAACAGATCTTACTTTTGGAACTCATTACTCATTAAGTCTTATTGATAAATTTATCAATCTCTCTTGTTTTTATGAATAAATTTATAGTGATAAATTTATCAGTCAGTATCTATAAATAAATAAGTCTAATTAATGAAACTGATTGGTAAATGCCATATTATGACTAAAGATCTTTTATAAATTGTCCTCTAGATTGGATAGGTTTTATTGTTTTCCTCTCTAGCAGGTGTCAACATGGTGAGTAATCTTGTGAATCACCATTCTCCAATATGAAGTCCAAATATTAACAATAAAACAAAGCAAGACTAGGGTGTATGGTAGGACGGTTGATTCAAATTATGAAAGATGATGTCCCCAGTTGGTATTATTCCTAAAACCTCTCATTTTCTTTTCTCCATTGTTGTCCTGGTAGGGGAAGACAATACCAATTTTCTCTTTCTCACACGCTATCATTTCATTTTGATGGGTGAAGTGGTGAGAAATGGTAAGAAATAATGAGAAAGAGATTTTTTTTTTTTTCTCATGTTTGATTTATAAGTTGAAAAAGAAACGATGAGGAATAGTTTATTTCATTTCCGATCAAAAGTGTTGAGATTGGTGAGAAACAAGTTGATTGGTTGTAAAATATTTATAATATGAAGATTACCTTTTAAAATATAAAGGAAGAAAAAGAAGTTTCACCCATATCCCTCTTACATATTTTACTTTCTTTCTCATCCAAACATGATAGTGAGATAATACAATTTTTTTCTTTTCTTTTCCCATTCTATGATATAAACGGTGTGCAAGGGCTAGTTTGATATCGTGACCTTTTAAAAGTTTGTTTGTTTTTTCTCTTTTCTTTTAAAGGATAAATTGTTAAAAAAAAAACACGTCTGGTAAATGTTAAAAAAAATTATTTTTTTGTTATTGATAAAGTTGAGTGGGTTGTTATTTTATTTTTTGAAACTATTTTATTGTCAGTTTTTCTAGCTACAAACAAATTTTTTTTTTCACGGCTTAATTAGTAAAAAAATAGTTGAAAAAGCTGAAACCGAACAGACCCCAAGAATGTTTGGAATTTTTTCTTTAATTTTATTTTATTTTTTTTTTCAATTGACAATCAAAATATTCCCTGAAATCCTGTATATACAATATGAAAGAAAAATAAAAATCTAAATCCAATGCTAATGTAGTTGATGCTCTACAATACTAATACAGTTGATGCTCACTTTATTGGTTGGAGTTATTAGTTGTTGCAGAAAGATCATAATAATCTTTCTCATATGCTAGACTAGGCGTGTTGGATAACTTTTAATTTGTGAAATTCTCCAAAATTTATAGAATCAAATCTATTGCCGACCAAAACAGCTCTTGGTCGTGGAAACTCACTTTTGCCGACCAAAAGTTTTGGTCGCGAAAAGTAACAAATGGCGACCAAATTTTTTGGTCGTGGAATGTCATAATTGGCGACCAAATTTTTTGGTCGTTAAATGTGACAATTGGCGACCGAACTTTTTGGTCGCGAAATGTGTCAATTGGCGACTAAGATATTTGGTCGGGAAAATATCACTTTTCGCGACCAAAGTGTTTTAGCGACAAAATGAATTAGTCGCGGTAATTAAATATTTAGCGACCAAAAATTTAGTCGGCAAATCCAATTTTTGCCGACCAACCAAAATTTTGGTCGCGAATTACTTTTGCCGACCCTCAATTAGCGACCAAAGTGGCGACTAAAAAAATTGGTCGCGGATAACTTTTGCCGACCAAAAATGGACTTTTAGCGACCAATTTTTTTGTTGCCAAAAGTGTTAATTCTTGTAGTGGTATCTATAAATAAATAAGTCTAATTAATGAGACTGATTGGTAAATGCTATATTATGACTAAAGATCTTTTATAAATTGTCCTCTAGATTGGATAGGTTTAATTGTTTTCCTCTCTAGCAGGTGTCAACATGGTGAGTAATCTTGTGAATCACCATTCTCCAATATGAAGTCCAAATATTAACAACAAAACAAAGCAAGACTAGGGTGTATGGTAGGACGGTTGATTCAAATTATGAAAGATGATGTCCCCAGTTGGTATTATTCCTAAAACCTCTCATTTTCTTTTCTCCATTGTTGTCCTGGTAGGGGAAGACAATGCCAATTTTCTCTTTCTCACACGCTATCATTTCATTTTGATGGGTGAAGTGGTGAGAAATGGTAAGAAATAGTGAGAAAGAGATTTTTTTTTTCTCATGTTTGATTTATGAGTTGAATAAGAAACGATGAGGAATAGTTTATTTCATTTCCGATCAAAAGTGTTGAGATTGGTGAGAAACAAGTTGATTGGTTGTAAAATATTTATAATATGAAGGTTACCTTTTAAAATATAAAGGAAGAAAAAGAAGTTTCTCCCATATCCCTCTTACGTATTTTACTTTCTTTCTCATCCAAACATGATAGTGAGATAATACAATTTTTTTTTTCTTTTCCCATTCTATGATCTAAGCGGTGTGCAAGGGCTAGTTTGATCATGACCTTTTAAAAGTTTGTTTGTTTTTTCTCTTTTCTTTTAAAGGATAAATTGTTAAAAAAAACACGTTTGGTAAATGTTAAAAAAAATTATTTTTTTGTTATTGATAAAGTTGAGTGGGTTGTTATTTTATTTTTTTGAAACTATTTTATTGTCAGTTTTTCTAGCTACAAACAAATTTTTTTTTTCACGGCTTAATTAGTAAAAAAATAGTTGAAAAAGCTGAAACCGAACAGACCCCAAGAATGTTTGGAATTTTTTCTTTAATTTTATTTTATTTTTTTTTTCAATTGACAATCAAAATATTCCCTGAAATCCTGTATATACAATATGAAAGAAAAATAAAAATCTAAATCCAATGCTAATGTAGTTGATGCTCTACAATACTAATACAGTTGATGCTCACTTTATTGGTTGGAGTTATTAGTTGTTGCAGAAAGATCATAATAATCTTTCTCATATGCTAGACTATAGGCGTGTTGGATAACTTTTAATATGTGAGATTCTCCAAAATTTATAGAATCAATGTTTCGTTTGAAAATAGATTTTTTTAATAATTTTTTGACTTTTCACAAAAAATATATATAAAAAAATAAAAAAAATAATACAACAACTTGTAATAATTTTTTAACTAATATTAAAAATTATCAAATGAGTTCTTCATATTCTATTAGACACCAAACACATGCCTAAGGGTTAGATTGGTGATGCTTGGTCATAGATTCATAATGCATCAATAGGGTTATAGGTGGGGATAGTACCGTGTGGGTGCAAATACACACAGTGAGACCTTGTTCGGAAAGGTGAAGTTTTAGTTAAAAATTTTAAAAATTATTATAAAAAATTGATTCATTGTGTTTTATTTTTATAAAATCAATTCTTAAACCAACCCTGATGATGTATGGAGTTTTCCTCTATTAGAGGTTGTCACTTGTCATCATCCTCGTTCCCATCTTTTCTTTTCCATGTTTGGTATCTGAGTCATAGTCCTTTCAACCCATTCTGTTTGCTATTGGTTATAATTAGAAGTTGAAAAACATGCATCGTTTTTATATCATTTTAATTATTGCATGAAAATTATTTTTGAAATTGTGAAAACATCTCCGTTTGGTTTTGAGTGTTTTAAATTTTAATTCGTATTTTTTAAATTTTTAGTGAATTTTTAAATATTTTAATTACATTTTTTTTACATGAACTTAATTTAGATGTACTTTAAAAATAAAATATTTGTGAAAAATCTTACAAAAATATAAAAATATAAAACAAAATATGAATATTTATTAAATTTTATATTTTTTTTTTGGTTGGCATTTTTTAGTATTTAGTGAACTTTTAAAGATTTTTTTCACAAATTTTATACTTTTTAAGTATATCTTAATTAAGTGAATTGAAAGAATAAAAATATTAATTAAAATATTAAAAAGTTCCCCAAAAAATAAATTTCAAAAAAAATATAAGAATTGAAAACTCAAAATTTGTTTTTAACAATTTTAAAATTAAACAGAGAATTAAACGTTACTTAGGAAGTGAGGCCCCTTTTAGGAAAAAAATATAAATAATTTTAACACAGTTTGTCAAATAATTTTTTCTTTTTTTGTGTATGTTTTGAAAGTAAAAACGACAATAAGGATAACAAACATATTTTCATTCGGTCCAGCTTGTTTTTAGCTGAAGATCAAGATTGGATTGTTCAGGCTACTTCGTGGATCCATTTTTGGGTCTCATTTTAATAATTTGAACCGTTAACATTTTAGAGTTCATCAAGTACAATATTCTTGTAAAAAATCAAGTCGATCGAATAACAGTAACTACGTGTTCCAATCAATTTTATATGAACTGTTTATTTTTTCACCGTCCATTTTTTTATACAAAATTAATTCGAACATGTAATTTTGTTATCCGATCAACTTGATTTTTTTATAAAGATAATGTACTCGACGAATCTTAAAATGTGAACAGTTCGAATTATCATAACCGAACTCAAAAGTGAATCTACAAAATAGACTGAAAAATCTAATCTTAATCTCCAATTAAAGACAAGCTGTACCTATTTTCATTGAGTGTGACTTGATCTCTCACCTTGGGGGATATGCTAAAAAGTGGGGTCTATTGGTTCATCAATCAAGTCCACAAA